TTGTTCACCATGTAAGAACTTGTTCATTATGCTTCAGAAGATTGGAGACTGACGAGAATTAGGCTTGGGGTGGATTAATGATTGTACATTGAGCATTGAGTCCCCTATACAGAATTTTATTGTTGTTAACAACCATTTGATCAATAAATATGAGATGCCCTCTCAAAAAAAAATTCCCTCTTAATTGGTTGTATTTTGCTGAAGCTGAAGTTGTACATACAGATACCACAGAAATAGAATTCTGGTAGGGATTCAAGGATATGTCTACAAATGGGAAACCAGAAGATGCATTCAGAGAGCCCATGGTGGCGGCCCCAGGCCAAGAACTTTGGACATGAGGCCACTGGTCTGCAACCCTCCGTCCAACTCCAAGATTGATTTCTGGCAATCAGAAAGGCATTTGCTGATTGTAAGTTAGAAGTGTTTTCTCAAAGTGTAACAGAGACACTGTTATTTGTAAACTGATTTCTACCTGCCTATCTTGGGACATAAAACAAATGTTTACGTCTCAACCAATTGTAACAGGAAAGACATCACAAGTTTCTTTTCCTCTCCCTCTTTCTCTCTCCTCAATCAAATTATCTTTTGTGTTGTGTTGTCCTGTTTCACTCAACTTTAAAAATCTAATGTGAAAAATAGATGCTCAGTGCTATGGTTTTGGCCCAGCAATGGGCAGAACAGGCCCCCAGCATCTGGTTGCTTCTGTGAGACTCCCTTCTGTGTTCACAAGACTCCTTAAGTTTAGGGAGGTTACATGAGGTGGGGGACAGACGCAGATTTTATATCCTGGCTCACGGCTTGCAAAAGTCTAGAACTATTCTCCAGGGGCTGTTCATTTAGTAGCTTTGTACATTTCAATGACAGGGAGAACATGGAGAAACTGGGGACATCCCACACCCACTCATCCTCCAGCTCCACACCATTGATCAGAACATCACTGTCTCCTGCAATCTACACAAAGGGCAGTGATGGGAGTTCTATGCTGTACATTTTTCAAGATCCTGGCACAAGCCCTGTGGCAGCAGTAGGGGCTGTGCCCTCTTTAGAGGTCCCCCAAATAATTAGGGGTTTATCTAAAGGTGTCTGGCCCACCTGGGCAAGTTCAGCCCAACAAGTTTAGAGGCTACACTGGACCTCAGGAAAAGAAACAAGTAAGTGACATGTGTCCTTCTAAACCAGTCTCAGTAAGAGGGGGATCCTGGCATCTGATGTCATCACATCACTGCACTGACCATATCAGACCTCCGAAGCTTTGCAGGTGGAGTGGGAGGAGGGGAAACACCAGCCAGGAATTCTGCCTTCCTCAATGAAGGAAATAGCTTTTTGGTGCAAGTAAGTAACTCACAATTAGAGAGAATGCAGTGACATAACCAGAAACAGGTCCCTGATGGGAGACACCCCTCGCCCTTGCCTCCCGAGGGGACCCCATGCTGAGGGGATGGAGGAGGGGGGCCACCCAGGGGACACTGCCAACAAGCCCAGTTTGGTGTAGTTACCACCAGATGAGAGGAAATGGGGGAGAGGGCAGTTAACAAAGGCAGCAAAAGCATGGCATGGGTCAAGAGGGCTTGGGCACAGCCACCACACCCAAAAAATTATGCCCTCCACAGGCATGTTTCAGTGCCTAAAACTCCGCCTGTGATAATCAATAACCCCTGCTTCCCCTTTGAAACACCAGTAAGGCACATATGCCGTCATCCACAGGCACCGGCTCCTGACAGCGAATGGACTCAAGACCTGCCCATTCAGTGCCTCGTGCACACAGTGCGCCAGCCTTCATGGCTGACCAGAGGGCAAGTAGGCCTTCCACAGGATACAGAGATACCCACTGCGTGACGGGCTGGCTGGCCAGGGAGAGGGCCGAGAGTCATGTCAGAGGTGGGAAGTGGAGCACCAGGGAGGAAGGGTGCATGAGCAGGGCCCTTAAGCAGGTGCAAGGGGACTGTGGGACAGAGGCAAGCAGAGGGCAAAGGCCAGGGCCCCCAACATGAGAGGGCGTGGGGTTCTAGGAGAAAGTATGGCTGCAACTTCAAGAAGGGAGAGAGAGAGAGAGCAGGGTGCCGGGGAGGTTGGGAGCATCTCTTAGAGCCTAGAGCACCTCCAAGGCCCCTCTGAGGAATGGGAAGGAGGAGGGGGTGGGCAGCACTAAGAGGGATTTTGAAGGAGAATGGGGAGGACAGGAAGATGTGGGGACACAGACAGGAAAAAGAAAGTGGGAGGTGGCCTGGACAGCTCAGGTCGGTCCTGGCACGCAGTGAGCCCACACTGCAGCCTGTCACTGTGAATTTCACCAGCAAAGCTGTGCTCACCCAGGGGGCCCGGCCTGTTCCCTGGACCAGCCCTGCACTGGTGCCTCTGCCCATGGGAGAGGGAGGCCAAGCTCTGGGAAGAGCCGGAGAAGCCTTCACTGAGCAGGAGCCCAGCCTTGCAGACTTGAGCCCAAGGGTACTGAAAGAGAAGGTGACTGGTGAGTCAAAAGAGGAGCAGAGATGCAACACCCCCACCAGGGTCAAGGCCCTCGGTAATGAGCCCCAAGTTCAATGCAAAGAGCCTTCCCCTAGACCAACACGTTGCCTTCCCATGAACATTACACACCTGTCTCTCTCTCTATATATATACCATGGCAATTAGGCCATCTCAGCAGTGAGAGACGATTTACAGAGGGAGGGCCTGCCATGTGCCACACTGAGGGCAGTCGCTGTGTCACCTCCTGGTACATCCACCTGCCAGGTCCTGGTAGGTGTTGAGTGGGAGGGAGGTGGGGGCAGAATGCATTCCTGGACAGACAGAGGGCCTCCCTTTCCAGGGGGTGTCCGAGGCCCAGCAGCAGGAGCAGGGCTCCGTGGAGGAGTCTGGGCAGTCCAGGGCAGGTGGGAGCTGGGTAAAACGGCTTTCCTTCCAGGAAAAGAGTTGAGAAAGAAGGACTCAGAGAGAGCCAGCTGGACTCCTTCAGCCCTCTGCCTGGGGAAGGGTGTGGCTAGCAGGAGACACTTCCGGAGCTATCTGGAAATAACACCCCTTGGTCAACACCTTGAGCCCTGCTGTCCTGAGAAGCAGGCCCTCTTCTGTCTGGAGGCAGAGGAGCTTCTTCTCCAGGGCCCACCACCAGGCGGCCACAACTCCCATTCCTAGGCCCTGAGTGCCCCTCCCAGCCAGTGCTCAAGATTCACCAATCCCACTAGGGACAAGGACCCTGCCAGAAACCTACAGTTCCTCAAAACAGACTTGGATGGTCCATTCCCAAGCATGGAGTGATTTCTCTGAGAACTCTGAGAGAGTGACAGAGCCCCAGATGACACAGCCAACAGGAGAGGATCCCTGATGAGGACGACCTGGGAAAGAGCCTCAGGGAATCAGTCCATCAACCAGCCCTCATCTGTTAAGTGCCTCCCAGTTGCCAGGCTTACGTCTAACGTCTGGGGATCTGACAATAAACAATGTTCCCACCTGGGTGGAACTTATATGCTTTGTGAGCAGCTTCAAACAGAAGACAAATATAAATAATGATGCCAGTGAATAGTAAGCCCTGAAAAGAAAATAAATCCAGGGAAAATAATGGACATGGACAAAATGGTGAGGAAAATAAAAGACAGACTATTTTTAAAAAGACAATCAGAGAAGACCTCTCTAAAAAGGTGACAACTGACAAGAGCCAGAATAAAGAAACAGAGTGAGGCCCTGTGAAAATCTGGGCAAGAATTTTGTAAGTGAAGCAAACTGTGAGTGCAAAGGCCCTGAGGTAGGAAGGAAATGGATGGTGCCTTCAAGGGGCAGCAAGAAGTTCCATGTGGCCAGGACATGGGCAGTGGGTAGGAATATGGGGGAGAAT